TACCATACATTTCCAGTGACACTGAAAACCAACTGTTTGGGTTCCCTGCTGCATTATGACAAGACTCACAATTGTGGAGGAGTTCAAGCCTCTTAATGTATAGCTGGATGGATGCTTTTTCATGCCCAACCATAAGCAGTTTCAAATACGTGAAATAAGGTAACAACAATCCTTTGCAAAATCCAATTAAATTACTGTGTAAGAACAGATGAAGTGAGACTGCATTACTGGACAGCAACCTGCCCACACCTCACCCAAGTCCTTGAAGCAGCTGCACGTAGCTGGGAGCATCACCAGACTCAGTCTCTCTTCCACAAGCGTACGGGCAAGAAAAAGGACAAAGGCCTTGAAACACACATGTGAAAAAGCAGCTCTATTACACCAAATGCACAGTGCTGAACTGGCGCCGAGAACAACCTCACTTTTCAGACGGTCTGCTGTTCGTTCACAACGAGTATGTAACAGCACAACGTATTGCCTTCCATTGCTTCTTGCATATTGTCTTAAATGAAAGCATGCCAAAACAAATATTGTTCACATCTATCGCTTTTCCAACTCAATCATCTGCAAATCTTCTGTACCAAGCATTAAAAATTACCGTGATATAATATTCAGCCAAGGTAATATCAAAATATATTTTATTCTGGACCTCTTTCAGATCTGATTCAAATTACAGTTGTCAAAGCAATACAATGCAAAGGGAAACTGCAACAGAAAATGTGCCTAGAAGGGATATAAGGGCCTTGGGGACAAATCATTGTGATGTAGAACCAAAATACATCATAAAGTGTAATTAACATGGTCCAGGACAGTATAGAACATCTATATCAGTCTTCTTTAGACAATAATCATGAAAACTGAACAATAAAAGTCCTTTAAACAAGTACAAAAAACTGTCATGGGCTGGTTTACACTTTTACAACAGCTGTAGTTTAACTGGATAACTGAAGAAATGATGCAGACATTTTAATCCAGTGCTATAGGTAGGCTCACAGAATTAGACCCAAAGGATTTGTAACTCCAAATGAAACCATTACAACTACAATGTCAATGTCAGGAGAGAGAGAAAATTACTTCTGTATTCTAGAATTACTGTTCTGCACACTGCAGTCTGTTGAGGACAAGATTGCAAAGTACACTGGACTAGCAACAACATGCAGACTGTTTTCTTGTATTTACCCACAAATGACAAAAACATGAAGTAAAAATGAATGATTATTTAAAAAAGAAAACAAAACAAAACGTGCCTTAAGTTACTGTCAAGCTGCAAACTTAAAGGCAGAGAAAGAGAGTATGTACTCAAAACTACTGATCTGAAGCACTATTAACACTAACTCCGCCATCTGTAAGACATGGCAGATCTTCCTGCCCTGTCTGCCTTCAGACCGACAGCGAAGACAGCCACGCTTTCACAGAACGTGGGATTTCAGAGCTTTCTCTAGAGGGAGATGTGCAGACTGCTCCTTGGCTCTCTCCCTAAGGAAAATGTCAGGGATCTCAGATGGAGATTTACTGCTGTCTCCGGAAGCCTATTCGCTTCTAACATGCCACAATGTTGCTTCTGCTTTCTTCAGACTTCTGGAGAGTGTGAAACGATCCCCCCCAGGAAACAGCTCTACAGGGCTTTGTGAAGTCAGAAGAAACAAGGCTCCTCAGCGCAAAGGAACACGGGCTAAGTGCTAAGCGCGGCAGCCCTGCTCGCGGCGCAGCCCAGCTGCTTGCACCAGCAGCAGCCCTGGCTCCAGCGAGGCGCTGCCCGGCCCTCGCGGCACACGGCGCGGTGCGACACAGACCCCCATCTTCCAACGCCCGTTCTGACAAAGTTTCCTCATGAAGTTAAAGACAATGGGATTTCTGATCGAGTCAAGATTGGAAAATTGGGTCCCAAGGCTCCTCTTTGCTGAACGGACAAAAACATACAACCTTTTATTTACAAGCTGAAAAACCCAGTTTGTAGCCTTAAGGAGATTCCTTCACTCAGCAGAACCGAACGTCAGCTGCCAGATTGCTCTGTGGGCAGCAGCACCCGGTTCCACCAGCCCTTCTTCCTGAACACAAAGAACATCTCAAAGGTACAGCGTCCCGTCAAACACGCCCTAGCATGAGGTAAGCAGTGTAAGGAAAAAGGAGTGCTTTTGAAAGGAAAATTAATTAAAATTGGTAGAAATCTTTGGCCTTTCTCTCAAGATGCATTAAAGTGTCATGAAATGAAGAAACATGCTTCAAAATGCCATGTCATTCTGACTCTGGTAACTATTACCTCCCTCCACCCAACCCAGAAAAAGAGGCACTTTTAGTGTTTCATATAAGATTTCCAATCATCTAGTAGACACACTAAATAACCCTGCACAATTGTAGTCCCAGAATAAACTGAGTTTATCAACATTATAAAGAGTCTAAAAAAGCTTTTACAAGGACCTAGATATTCTCTTAACTACACTAAAAAGTCCACTGGTTGGGAATCTTTACATCGATTTAAAAACGCAGGAAAAGAGAAAGCAAAATAGAAAAAGAGGAACTCTACGGAAACCTGGACCTAACTATGCAGAAATGAGCAACGGGATTCTGACGTCGATGCATAGAAAAACAGCAAACTGAAGAGCAGTTCCTTTCTTACTCCAGCATTCATTCTGCGCCCAGTTTTTCCCCTTCCTTTTATCCTCTACTTGGATGCCTGCCCACTGACACTGAATGGAAAAGACTGTAACTTCCACGCAGGCAAAGGCCTGCGCACACATCTGCCTTCACAATGAGAACAGGCGCAACAGAATTAATCTCCATGTAAGACTAAGCATGTGCATACACCGATACGAAATTAGGCTCTTACTGACATTTGGCATACTCAATTGAAAGGAAAAGTTTGGACAGTCTACCTCACTATCGAATACGAGGTCTTTGTGCTATAAAATGTAATAAACGTATGATTTCCTTCTTTTTTTGTGTGTGATTTTTTTTTTTCTTTTTACTTCACAGAATCACAGAACCTAGCACACCTGGCATGCATGCGCTTAACAGTGTATAAAACAAGAGGCAAAAGAGGTGTGAGCAGGAGCAGCACTGTGGCATGCTAGTAAAGGACAACAATAAAACACCTACAGCCAGGCCTGCTGCTGCGGGACCTGGCACAACTCCGCTGCGGTGGGCACGGCGCGTTATCACGGGGCTGGGCCGTTAGCCTGCGTGTCCAGAGCACTCAAGTCAACACAACTGGCACTGCTGGACTATGCTTCAAGCACCTGAAAACCCTGGACCTCTGAGACTGAAGCTCTGTTGTATCTATTTATGAATACGTGATACTATGCTTAAGCAACTAGAATTAACAACCGAAACAGCTGATGATCGAGAAAGAGGAAAATGGCAATACCCTAAAACATGGCTGTGTGATTTTGCAGCTATGTCACAGAACTCCACCATGACTGTTTGGATTGGCTGAAAGAATCACCCAATAACTTTTATGAGAATGAATAAACTGTCCATATTAAAATACAAAAGTACTATCAAGAATCACTTCTGACTTTCAGATTTAAATTCAGTGCAATTGACAAATGCATTGCTAAACGAAAAATGCAGCTTAAACATACTCAAAACATTTGTGTCTATTCCTGGGAGCACAGTTTAAAATTATTGCACAGAATTTTTATTTTTTTTTTTCATTAATGACAGAGGTCAGCCACAGTCATGGACCTCCAGCAATAAAAGCAATATTTTCAAGTGCCAGACACTCAATATATTAGGCTTCCTACGTACTGTAACTCATGGCGTAATTGCTCTAAACATTTGTAATATGTTCCCAAACCCTAACAACAGCTGGCACTGAACCATCACGGATGACTGCCTTTATGGATATGATTTTTTTCTTGTTTTTAAATGCTGTCTATGATAGTAGTATATTCCTGGGGTATATATAAAGCATTGTTGACTTCTCTTTACCACTGGCAAATTGCTCCCCTACCTTAGTCAAACTCAGACTTGCTTCAAGTCATGTTTATTCCATGGAAATAGCAGAAAAATGCCTAAAGGACAACTGTTAAAATGTTAAAGCTGCACTATCTTGATTAAATCAATTTACACACAACTCGGAGGGGAAAAATAAAAGAAAAAAAAAAAAAAACAGCAATCGTAAGTCACAAAATTATTTGTGATTGAAATAGTGTTATAAAACTGATAACTTCACAAAGCTCTCTCTGCAATATAAACCATTCCATAAGTAAAATGCCTGGGACATAAACTTGACCTCTCCTTTGTATAAATTTACACTCTTGGAATCGTATGCAAGACATGATGCAACCTTCTCAACTACACGTACGCGTAAACACAAACTCATGCTATCATTTACAAATAAAACCACTATCAGTATATTTTTAATCACATGAGCAGAAAAAGGTTTGCCATATACATCTGTCATTGTAAGAAAAATACTCGATATTGTAAACAGAGTAAAAGACACTATATAGTAGTGATTATTAAAAAAATAGCAGCTTACATCTACCCTATATTTGGAAAAAAATGTAGTCACGTGATACAACAAACTGCAGGACTGGAGCAGCAGGGGAATTAGTGCAAGTATTCATCTTTTAAATAAGCTGAATCACTGCTATTAAAATAAACTTGAAGCAAGTCCTCTGTTTAAGATATTTTTTTAAATCTAAGGTAGTAAACATTTTGCCTCTTAATGGCAGTGTTATCAAATATATGCCAAAGATTTTATTTTAATAAAGAAAAATTACATGAGACACTTTTAATACTGGAGTTTGGTTACAATTATACATCTAAGCTCCTACAAATAACGATGGGCAACTCCCAGAGAAGCTGTGGCATGAACCCTTGTCCAGAAAGATCTTAACAAATCCCCCAGCTATATTTTGCTCCTCTTCATAATAGTGCACAATTTATCTGTATTTAACCATATTTTAGCTATGGTCTTAAAGCAACAGAAGATGCATTTCATTTTCCTCTTTTTTGTCTTTTTTTTTTCTTTTCTTTTCTTTTTTTTCTTTTTTTTTTTTTTTTTTTTTTTTGCATCCCTGTATTTTTCTCTTCTGTATTTTTGTGCCTTTCTATCCTTTAGTTTGGCAGAATTACGTCCGAAATAAGACACTACTGCATTCCAGCCATGTCACCAGAAAATAAAACACAGCGTCTTACCCATTACTGTCACACTTGGTAGATGAGCAGGACGTGAAATATCACGCCTCAAAGAAGGATTTTTTCTTCTCTCCATAATCCCTTTTCCACCCTCCTTCTGTTCACAAAATTGTGCTCTGGGAGTCACAAAATGTACCAAACATCGTCAGGTTCAATCTACCTCCTCAAAGAATGCATTCAAATATGTTTCAAAGAAACACTTTTTTTCCAAGGTGATAAAAAAAACAAACAAACAAGAAACTAATTCACTCCCTTACTTCATGCATCCGTAAACTTAACCAAAACAAAACAGAAAACCCAATGGTTAAAAGCAAAGAAAAAAACTACTGCTGCAGATTTCTGTAAGTCCGTTTTCTCTGTACACACAAACTGCTCAACTACTGAAAAGGAAAATAAAAAAAAAAAGATACCCCACAATCCATTGTCATAGTGGATTAAGAGGGGAAAAGGGGCAATGAAGGCTGCCATTACATCTTCTGAATTTGGTATGTATATGGGTCTGCTCTTGTATACGGTATATTTCTCTCTCTCTCGCTCTCTCTTCTGTTTTTCATATCCAAAACATTAAAATGTTATTTTGGGGCACAGCAGATTCCAGCACTTGGTGAATGGGATTCACAAGCTGTGACAAAACTCTGTCATCCTCTTCAGGGTGTAACTTTTTCTTTTATTTTTATATACAGTATATGTATATATTTCTTTTACGTTTGGCTGTAGTGGACTGGCCATGGTTCAATTGGGACTATAGCAGTACATGGGTCAGGGACAGTCATTTTGGCTATGTACACATTCATAGTCGGTCCATGGCTTCCAACTAGTAGCGCTATTTCCGTAGGTCTAATACACAAACCTGTAAGAAAAGAAATACACGTAGAGGAAATGCACGTTGTACGACATCACACGTTTACACAGCTGTGTGTGAAACACCTGAGCGAAACCTACGGAGCAGGTGGTGGAACCTTAAATCTGTAAGTGACCTGGGGGGAAAAATCAGCACATCAGGAGAGTTCCTGGGTTATCAGCACGCAGCCAGACCTGCTTGCAGTACTGCTGCCGACTGCACTGCCATCATTCGAAATGCCTTATGGGAGCTGTTTGCCTGTTGCCTCGTATTAGAAGGTCGGCAATTTACCTGAATCTTATTTTGAAAAATATGGTCAAATTAAATTAAAAATAATTCAAAATACATTTCCAGAAAATGCATGAACTGATCAGGATACTCTAAAAAATAAAAAAATTAACACTGTATAAATACCAAGTTTAATTTTCTAAAGCCTTCACTAAGTAGTGCTCCCAGTTCTGTCGGACAAAGCAAAACCAACCATAGACAAGCTATGCTTTTAGTCACCAAGTGGTTCCAATGTGCTCCTATTCGCTTTGCTACTGCCAGCTAAAAATGTATTTAAAACAGAGGGGATGAGGTGGACTTCTAGTAACAAATCATAGCAAGGATACATTTTAGAAGAGTCAAAATTAAAAGGAAAATCATAAATAAATCTGTTGCAAGTACAATTAGCCTCTTGGGTCAAATTAACTGAAGACTGGAAAGGTTACGTTGCATGTATGTAAGAGTAACCATGAGTGGAATGGCAATTAACTTCCACCCAGGATACGCCTCGAGATTTTTGTTCCTTTCAGGATATTTTCTGCAATCATATGACAAAATGAAAAACAACCAGCCACTCTGAACAGATTTCTACATTAAGCACCAGAAGGGACGGGGAATTTAAATTAAATGCATCTTCTGACTTTGGGCGGTTTAAAACAGTAATATATCAAGCTGGAATAAAGACATTCTACTTTCAAATTTTAGAAACTTCACATGAAAAACATCTACATGAAAGCTGCATGTATTTAAACATCAGGTACGTAAGGAAATATCATCTCCACTGTTAGCCAAAATATGTCATTAGACTGTTAAACAAGTCAAGCCACACTTACTGAACCATCTGAAGCACTTGCTCCAACTTTGTCTCCTGCTGCATTCCAGCAAACCTCAAAAATCCCTCCTGTTCCCCTATAACTGTGAACTAGGGCACCTGTCTAAAAAGGGACAAAACACATAATTAATATAACAAAATACATGTGATCAAGTACATTTCTACTACACGTAAAACTCCTGTCATTTTCAACAGCTGAAATTCTCAGGGGAAACAGTTGAGATTCAAGGACTATCTAAGAGCTGTGTGAAAGGACTTGATGATTACTGCATCTCAATCTCCTTCCTGTGTTTTCAAGGTGAAACCATAGTTGGCCTTCATCAAATTATAAAATATCTAATCCCTGGTAACCAGAGATCACACCTTGCCTAACAATGCTGGTTTTACATTTTCATCTTCCTTCAGTTCTTCTCTGACAGAAAAGCAAAGTAATAGCCTTCTTCCTCAGGAAGTTTTGCAAGATCTGTCACCATCTTCTCTCACTTTACATTCTTTTGCTTTTCAGCGATGTTCAATGAAACAGCTATCAAGTGTCAGACCTGTACACCTACATTCACTTAACATTTTTTCACAGCAAAGCTAATTTATCAGGAGCTTAAATGTCAGAGGTAACAATTTTTGGATGCAACATGCTACTGCAGAGACTGCTGAATGTGTCTTGGGGTGTGGTTTTGGGGGTCTTTTGGGGTGCCTTCACCACAGGTGGGTACACTTCACACAGAGAGAAAAATTTCACGTACATCCATTAACAGAAGAAACCTTAGGACAAGGAGAAGGTAAATCAGCACGCTGGCAAGGGCAAAGTTCTCCACATCCAAAAAAAGATGACATAACTAAGGTTGGAAAAGTACTGATGGAAAAGAGCGAGAAAACTTTCTAAACAGACAGAAGAGCTGTACCTGTGTGTTCCAGATGTGTACACATTTATCAAAGGAGCCGCTGGCCAGGTACCTGCCGTCAGGACTGAAAGCTACACTGTACACAGGTTCTTGATGTTTTGTCAGAGTATGAATACAGATTCCTCTGTCTACATCCCATAACCGAACAGTAGAATCAAAGGATGCACTGTCAAGGGAGAAAAACACGGATTAATTACTTCTCAGTTTTGCACAATTTTGTTTTTAATACAACTGTCATAGGACAAAGCATCCTACATAGTTTGAAACATTTTGCACATACATATAAGTAAAGAGCAAAGTAAACACAGGGCACAATTTCTTTAAATAAAAAAAAAAAACAACTTCTAAGATGGATTAAGAAGTACCTTGCTAACATAAGATTGGCATTTGGATTATTTGTTCCTGGTCCTGTAGGACTCCATTTGATAGTATAAATTTCTTTGTTGTGTGCTTGTAAGTCGTGGACACAACTGTCTTGCTTCATACTCCAGATCTATGATAAAATGGAAGACAACACAAAGACATTCAGCACAATATTGTATTAAGATATTTTTTATACCTTTCTTTATTTTCTGCAGCCTGACTGCTACCTTTTAAGCTACTAAAAGCATTTTCTGTGACTGCTGTTTCTACAGTAATTACAGTACACATTATTTCAGAACTCAATAAACAGAGGGCACTAAGTATCTGATGGCATAATAAGTAATAAAGATATTGTCTACAAAAACCAATCTAAATGTGCTAACTACAAGTCACTTGAAAAGTGTATGGAAGATAACAGATGCTAAAATGAGAAGAGCAATATGTGTATGTTCATGTCTGAGTTGACAAAATATCACAGTCCTATTTTTAAATGAACTTCCTTCTTGCTACACAGATTGAGTGAAACAGAGTAGGAAAATGTGCTGTTTTCATGCAAAGTAATAGATGCATAGTGCAAAAGCCATTATGACATTTTCTTGGCTTATTATGACTGGCATTGCCAGGTGTTTGTGCAATATTTTGCACAGAGGAGGTGGCCCTTAGGACTCCAACTCATCCATGATATCCTACAACAAAAGCAATTTAGTTATTCTATTAAGAGTGATAATAGTAATGCAATAATTATTTGGAGGAAACACGTTGGTACAATTAAAACAGTACAATGACTCTGGCTGAAGTGGAAAGCCAAGGATGCACACCATCTTACAAGAAATAACGTGCTTCGGGTTTTAACTTTAGAAGAAGGGGAACACAGAAAAAACTATGAAAGGATCTAGTCACCGATTCTTGTACATGTTAGAACATTACATGCATTCCAACTACTGCTTTTAACCAAAAGCAACCAACAAGTGTGACAGCTTAATGATTAATGACTTAATTTTGTAAACAGCTAAAAGCACCTAATACATCACGCTCCGAGTCTCAAGGTGGCAGCCTGTAACAAGCTCTCTGGACCAAAGCTTGGCTCTGATTAGCAAAGGGATTGCTGGGATTGCCTAATCTTGTTACATCAAAAGAGAACAAACGTCAGGACAACACAGAGTGTGCAGTGACATGGCTCCATTGCTCAGACTAATGGTGTGTTTTCTGAGGTCCTATGAAGACAACAGCCATCACTCCCATTACCTTTAGAGTCATATCATCTGAACAGGATGCCAGAAGATTACCAGTTGGATCCCATTTGATTGCGTTTACTTCATTCTAAAATTGAGCAGTGAGAGCTGATTAGAATTTTCACTTCCATTACAAATGACAGCATACAAAAGATGAAGTTGCAGTTGCAAGTATTTGCATAATTAGCACTATTTTAACATCTAATTTTCATTCCATACATGGCCTTAACACAACATGAGACATAGGAAAATCTAAAGTTCATCTGTTTCTTCTTCTAAAGCCATCCTGGTAGAAGAAGCTGCAGACAGGAGCAAATATTTTCATCAGGAGGACAGAGCTTATCACAGGATCTTAACTACATCTACCTGGGTATGTATCTATGCCTTTTGCCATGACCAACTCTTATGCAAGCACTGTATACCAGCAAGATTAGTGACACTCTCTGCCCACCCCATCAGCCTCTCATTAATAAAGACACCATAAAATTCGTCATTTTCCAGTACTTACTGTGTGACCCTGGAAGGTTTTGATGGGCCTATCTTGTCCTAGTTTACAGACATGAATGCACATGTCTGTGCTGCAAGAGGCAAATGTGTTGTTGCTCTGCCAATCAACATCTAATGCTGGTGCTAAAAGAACAGAACATTTAAAACTGTGATGTGTATTCTGCAGGAATTTGATTTACAAATATAGCATTCACTACCTTCAAACAAATGTCAACAGGAAGCAACTATTAATTTTACAGCAGTTTTAAAGACTATCAAACAATTAAAACAAGGAGAAACGCAGCCAAAAAGTCTTATCAAAAAATATGGCATAAAACAACAGTCACTAAAACATAGGATATATCTGAAATAGAACAGTTATACAGAACAGTGAGCAACAAGAAAGCAAGCTACCGTTAAGTCACCTCAAAGTAAATCTCAAGAGCCCACCCAAGACATTCTCTCAGCTTACAGTGCATGTTTGTGCTCACCGATGTCAGCCAGTGAAAGGGAATATGATTTAATCTATTTATTTATTTTAATTTCAGCATTTCAGGGTGTGGTAACTTGAGGCTTAATCATGGTCTACGTATTGCATTTGGCCAGGATGAGTAATTTGTGGCCAAGAGCACACAAAATTGCTAGGAGTAAATCAGGAACTCATGTTTTTGATTGCTGCCATGGTACCAAAAACATAGGGAAAGTAAAATAAAAAGTGGAAATGAGACATTTCTTAAAGGCCCAATGATTTGTACATCATCCTCTCCCTGCTGTTTTCCAGCTGATCCTGGCAGGCCTGCCCAGCACACAGCCTGCACAGCCATTTGCCTGCCCTCCCAGGAGGTGGCTCTCACATCCCAGCTGGCCAGCACAGCAGGAATTAAGGAACAACGGGATGTGGAGACTGGATTGCTGTAGCAGGACGATGACAAACGCAGTCCTTAGCTGATATACATAAATCTTGTGCAGGCCATCCACGCTATGTCTGCCCCTGCACTGCACTGAGTTGGTAATACTTGGACCATCTCTTAAGATCTTCCACACAACTGCAATAAAATTGTGAGTTATAACATTTTAAAACTACATGAGACTACAAATATGGGAGTCAGTATTTCAAGACTGCCTGTAAGACTTCAAAAAGGTGTGAATGGACTCCATAAACTTCAAGTACGTTATTTTTCAAATAAATGACACATTTGGAGTTTTTCCAGACAACAATAGCGAATGAGCAAAATCAACACTCACCAGAATGAAACGGAAACTGCTGCTTGGCTTCACCAGTGTGGGCATCCCAAATAATTGTGGTCTGTATTAAACAGATGCATTAACAATAAACACTTGCACCAACTACTAGCTTCCCACAACTACCGCCATTCACACGCACCAAACTACCTAGCCTACTCCCCACTGCCCACGTCTACAGATGGCTCAATACTTCAAGTGTTTTACCTAGTTCTAAAGCAACTAGTGGTACAGTACAGGCAACAGAAGAGAACCTTGACATGCTCTAACACTAAAAAGGTGTTCATGGTGACATACTGGGGGTCTGGAGGGAAAAAAGGGGGTTCTGATGTTTTGTTTTTTTTTTTAAATTAAATAAATATATCTCCTCAGTTCTATTTATATTCTTCTAATCCACACTGCATACCTAATTTAATTTCAAGTACTCACATATTCAAATTGTAATTTCAAATACTTGTCTGTCCCTGTGGAAATCTTTATACAAACGCTGCCTCATAAATCAAATCTTTCAGATTCCTTCATTTTTAAGCATGGGTGTAATTTTGATCTGAGCTGTCCTCTGTATTCTGCTGTCTTTTTCACGGAAGAAACCTTCTTGACAAAAATCAGTATTTTGCCATCCCTGCATTACATGCTCATGCTCCTGACCTACCTTAGCAATGAAAATTTTCATCAATAAAAACTTTGAGACTGAATTTGGTGGAAGTATGAACTGATCTCAAATTATTTATGAAAATGAAACAAGAGGTTGAGTCAATCTTTCCACTAACGCAGAATATTTTTCAAAGCATAATTTCAGTTCCTCTGTCAATGAGTTTTATTGACTGAAACAATGAGGCTTTATCTCCTACAGCATATTTTTCTGCAAATCAAAGCTGTAGTTCCACAAAGATGTTAAAACTGGCATAAGCCATCCAAGCTGCCAAAAGAGGAAATCCATCCTTTCCGTGTTTTGAAATATTTACTCTCTTCCTACCTTTGTGCCAGCAGAAGCACTTAGAAAGCTCGGTACTAAAGCAAAGCAAGTTAATGTAGGAAAGAAAAGCCATATAAAGAGAGGAAAATCTCTGAGGGTTATATTACTACCCTAGCATGGTACTGCCAGTTACGAGTGCTGCAGAACTGTGGTTTTACTTCTGCAATATGAATTGGCTGAAATGGAAGAACTAAACAACATCTATTACTCTTTGAACTTGCTTTAGGTCTATTCTTCATCCCTACTGTATCCTTCCTACCATTCATAAAAACTCTCACACTAACAACGATTCTCAAATTAAAGACCTTGTGAGCCTTTGCATTTGTTCAGAGGCACGAAATCAAAGACAGTTAAACAATGGGCTTCGTGGCATTACGCTGGCACCTCCCCAGTCAGATATATTGACTTTCCTTATGCTCCAGCTTTAACCTTTTAAATCATTCTCAGGCTTGACTGATATCCAAATCAGCGTTGATCTGTTCCCCCAGTATGTTTTTTTCTGAGGCTTTGCATCAGGTCATTCAGTAAATTTTAGATAATTTGTTTTTACAAAGGTTTAACGTTACTGTGTTCAATGCACTTACTTTCCAGCTTATGCTAATCTAATTGGGAAGAGATCCAGGGGCATTAAATCCTAAAGAATTTGAGTATTTCAGTAGGCTGTTATAAAACACAATGAAATACAGCTAGCACAACAAGTTCTTTGTAAGTACATATTTATGTCCCATGCCTTAAGTTTAAATTTAGTTATTTACTTCTATGGCTTCATTACTATGTTTACAATTAGATTACAACGGTGAAGTAAAGAATTTTAATTTTACCAAAGATTATCTCACCTTGTCCACTCCTGCACTTAAAATGAAGTTTCCTTTCTTGTTCCATTTTAACGCAAATATAGGACCTTTATGTTGCCCTAAGGTGCTGGCAAGATTACCTGAAAATTTATATTGATATGAATACATTAAAAAAATAAAAAGCTGTGTTGTGAGCCACAATACAGGAAATATACTGACAACTATGAAATATTTCACTTACCATCTTTAGTCCATATCCTCGCAAAGCCATCGTAAGACCCAGTTGCTAGAAGTGTACCTTCACTCTGCCAGCAAAAAGGTTATTGGTTTAATTTTGCACAATTCAAGGCTAAGGAGCACAATGCAAAGTTCAAGTGGAAGACATCTGCGTAAGATTGATGGTATTTATTCCACAGACTGCAATTATTAATAAGAAATCCCCAAAGTATAACAGAAGAAATTACAAGGCAACTCAAAATGAGATGCACCTCTGGAGCGGTAACAGAGGATGCACAGTTGGTGGCACTTAGAATTTGACTATGCAAAACTGCAAGCTTGGTGTTCTTGGAGTATTTGGTGCAGTCATTTCTACTCACGTTCCAATCTAGGGATGTCACATCTTTGTTGCTTGGTACATCCTGCCCTCCTTCTCGTATACAGTGTCGAAGTACCAGCTGCGTAGAGCCGCTTGTGCTGTTCTCACTGAGGTTCCATATCCGTGCTGTTGAATCTCCGGATCTGCAAAGCAGTTAGGAGGATACAACCCCTTCTCTCAGTTCATTTCATTTCAAAGTGTTTTTCTTTCAAAACAGTGAATATTGTGGTATTTGACACAGGGAGCATTGAGACTGGTATTATTTTACTTGCTCCCATAAACAAAGAAAAAGTACCCCAATGACCATCAATATTCCGTAAAGACGTGGCTAATGCACGTACCCTGAGGCCAAAAGGTCACTAACGGGATTCCAGGCACAGATGAATACTTCAGATTCATGGCCACGCAGCACCACTGCTTTGTTGGGAGGGATTTCGACATCACCATCTACTTCCATCATATCTGTGTGATTATCTGCACGATGGGAAACAACAGTGGAGAAGAGGCAAACTTCAATATTTTGGACTTATATGCTTTAACTGCTGCGTAATTAAGACTCTCCTGGAATGAGCACAATTAGTTCTCAGTGTACACCGACCAAAATCTGACAAAGCTGTTATGCTTCTTTACTTTTCAAGTACTATGAAAGATAAGGATTTAAAATTAAAAAAAAAAAAAAAAAAGAAAAAAGCAGCAAGGAAGAAATTGCACTTTCAAACCTCAGGATCCAAGATGACTTTATTCTGAAACTCAACAAAATAATTTTTAGCTTCAGTTTTCATGCTGACAAATAAGCACTGATTTTAAAAGCACACAGGGTTTTTCATACTGTATGTTGCTTGACACGATAAGCTACAAGTTTATCGCGTGCTTTAAAAACATGTTTATGACAATTGGTTTCCAAAAAATCTTTTCAGAATTAAGCTCAAACCGGTTTTAAATCTACACTTCAGACACTTCATTTCCAAAATGGCTTTGATTAATATAATAACATTTGGTGATAAGGTAAACTGATAACGCAGCTTCTTAAACTGCATTGGCAATTACTGTGAAATTGTGGCAATAGGCAGCTCTTTGTGCGGAAGTGATGCTGAGCTCATTTTGTTCTGCAAATCGCACTGGGGGTAATTCAACTGACAAAACAGTTTTCTTGCCAGCTACCATCAATCATTTTCTATTATTAAAATACATTCACATCGAGGACGAATGCAGAATACAAGAAACGCTAAGCAGTTCACCTGCTCTGTATTTATTCACTGTGATTAAACAAACTATTTTACATTTATTGCTTAATTTAACGTTAAAGGTTTCTGTGACTGTTTGCACGTGTGAGAAAACAGAAAAAGCTATTAGGACATGAATATTTCTCAGCTGGCATACCATACAAATCACTGCCATTAGAGAACCGATGCCAGTACAGTTCGGTGTGCAGCCAGCAGGGGTTGCTGGTATTCCACATTTACAGTAGCCGAGATCCATAAGTGCACTCGTTCCAGTTCACAGTTAATGAGCAAATGCTCTTATGAGATTTGGAAATGAAAGTATCAAAGTGGAGAGCTTATTTAAGTCAAAGATTATATTTCCAAGTTTATTTGTCATACGTAATAATGAATAAAACAGTAAAATCTAGTTGTAAAATGCAAAGCTCGTACGTGGCCCGATACAAACACACTCTCAAAAAGGCCTTTTGCTCAGGAGCTGCTACAGCAAAAGCAGACTCTGAACTCTCACTGTAATGTCCTACCTGAACTTGCGTGTAACAGCCCAGCTGTAAGCTATGCTCCTCTGAACAGCAGTGATAAATAAAACTCACTTGTTTCCCCCAAAACAACTAAAACTGTATAGTTTAATAAACCAATGCACAAACAAAACTGGCAAGCACTTGCATCAACCCTGCACAATGAATTGTGAAAACTGACACTGATAAAGGAGACAAAGGACATGAGATTTGTCTTGGCAACTGCCATCTCAGCATGGCAAGGAATCAGTCCAGCACGGAAAGAGCCCCAGATCCTGACTCCCTGGCTTAGCAGCATCTGCCAGAAGCAGTGCTTGCTGAAGCATTGCAAGCAGGACCCTGTTTTAACCAGCTAAGGGCAAGCAGAATCCTCTCCCTGCTCCTTGTACAGGGCTCAAGGTTGAGGAGGTGTAATGCTTAAAGAACTGCCTGCTTTTTACTCAAGGCTTCGTGAAAAATTTTCAACTGATAGGAAAGGAGCAGTACTGGAGTGAAACTCTGTCAAAGGCATGTTCGGATTGAATGAATTCCAAGTTCATATCTCCTGCAACTCCTGACATCAAAGCACGGACAGTCAAATGTGAAGCACTACTAAAAATAAGCACTGCCTCAAGATGAAGGGTTACTAACATCTTTACACATTTATTTCATTCTCTGCTAGCTAATATTAAGGCCCACGAACACGTTAAATGACAAGGAAATGACATAACTCAGGTAAAGTTCACTTCTGTCTCCACTTACTTGCTATAGTATGTGCTCCATTCTCTTCCCCATTTGCGGTATTTTCACCATTTTTTGCTGATCCCTGTTGGTTTGTTGCAGCTGCAGCTGCAGCAGCTGCTGCCTGCTGTTGTGCAAGTTTATCTCTGTAGGCCTGCTGTCTTGTCTGTACCACATCAGGCATCACTGCATCTATCAGTGAGAGAGACTCTATCGGCCTACCATCAAACAAGGTACCATCCTAATTACAACAAGGGAAAGAGCAAAAAAAAAAACAACACACCACCAAATATGAATTAGCATCATTGGCAAAAGCTCTGAGAAAAACACAAGTAAAAGTTCTAATTTAATACAATAAAAAGGCAACAGTTTACAAATGGTGCAAGAACTAATTTCTCAGCATTTTTGTGGCTAGAATTGGAACTTTACTCTGAAGTGAAGTGGCCACGATAAGTATGCAAAAAAGCCACTGCAGGCCTCTCTGGCAGAGGTTCTGGAATTACAAGTTACATGCTCCAAGTTTGCTAAGTTGTCTGCTGAAGCAAAAAATATCTGTAAGCTATCTATAAATATCATTTCAAACACGAGCGGCTGCAACAAAATCTAATGGTTTGTTTGAAAAGCTGCAAACATTGCAAGTCAGGTCACTGGCTGGTGAAGTTATTCTATCTTATTTGACTAATACTTTCCATAAACACGTTATCCAAAGTTCACCAGTTTTCCTCCTTTTTTTTTTTTTTTAAAGCAGTGCTGGCACACTTTCAAACAACAAAGAAGAATTTATCCTGAAATGGACACAACCTAGTTAAAAATACGCTTATACATATGCTAGGGCTTTGTAAGGTCCTATTTTTAGGACCTAAAAGGATTCCTTGTGATAAATATAGGGTCTCCTTCTATTCCAATCACTTGGTTTATTTTTCTGAGGCTTCTTAAGGGAAGAGATTTGCCTCGCTGGCACTATGAAAATAATACATAAAAAGAAGACGTAAGAGAGACTGGAAAGATAGCAGAATAAGTGAAAAACTGTTTCTTATCCAGTACAGCTGATGCACACAAAGGCTGCTAACCTCTCAGACATAAGGGAAAATGGAAATCAAGGGTGAATATCTGCAGTACCAGGTAGGAAGATGCAAAGCTTTCCGTACTGCTGGAATAACCATTTGAACGTGAAATTCAGTGGATCCTGCTCAGGAGGAATTTGTCAGCAGAGGCAAAAAGCAAACTGACACATACCTCCATCCTTCCTGCCAGAAACTGAAACCATCTCCCTATTTGGAAATCTTCCCTTTGGCTTTCATTACATCATTACAACAACACGTCACCCAAATGAGAGTTGCAGAGCACTCTCTTACCTCACTAGAGCAAGTCTACAAAAACTAAAAGGTTACTTGTCTCTATAATTACTTTACTGCACTTCTCTGGATTTACTGCAACATTATATAAGGGTAAAAACTCTCCAGACAACGGACCTTCAAGCTGTGAGCCAGAACACCATGCCTGGTGTTGTGTGGCTGCACGGGGCAGAACCCCTACCCAGTTATGTCACTCCATTCTGGTTCCACCACTGGAGTCGTGGTGAACACCAGCAGTGAGGAATCTGAAGTAAAAGTAAATAAATAGGATACAAAAAAGTTAAGAAACAGCACTGAGCACTCAAACTTACTGCAAGCAAAGACATAATGCTCCCGTAGGGAATTCTTGCTTACCTCATTAATACTGACTTCCGCCTCTACATACTGCAGACCTTTCTGAATGATGGAAATCAAAGCAGCTGGTGGCACCAGAGCACCATTTATATTGGACTGGCTGATATGGCTCTCTATACCAAAGGTAAATGCTGAATGGGAAAACCCTAAATAAAGGCAAAACCATGAAAATTTATTTACAGATAGTGACATTTGCCAAAGTATGCAAGATCCGTATACAAACCTAAGGTAAAGAAACTTAGAGCACATTTTAAAATATGAAGAACACAACGCTTCTGTTTCCCGAGTTTCTAACTTAAAAAGCATAGAAGGTCAAAAAATAAGTTTCTAAATAGCACAGCAATTGATTTTATCACTGGCAAAACACTTGTGCATGAGAATATATAAAAAGATAAAATACAGAATGGGCAATGGTACTTTAACAGATTGCTGTGTTAGTTTCTCTCACTGATTTGTTATCCATGAAAATAAAATGAACCCGTACATAAAACAGAATTAACTGCATGGTATGATGCTGTCACAACCGTGCCTGTTTGGGCACTGATTGAGAAGTGACAGGCACACTGTGATGCACTACTGGTAGCTGTTTGTTACTTATTAGCCCTGAAAAGTGAACTGAACCCAGAGAAAAGCATTTGCTTCAGCAATCACTGCCACTTTTTCTGAAGTTACTCCTTTTGTCTTTTGCTGTCAGATAACCAAGCTGCCTGCAAACTTTCAAACGAAGATAAAGCAATTTTAAAATTTGGTTTCTGTGACTAAAGCCCTCTGCAACTGGAATGAGAATGTGTAATAGCTTCCTATAAACTCAGGTGAAACAAAGAGTTTCTTCTATCTTCTGACAAGCAGAGACTGAAAAGCTTTGCCATCCATCACTGTTTCTGGTGCTTGCTTGTCTCAATTTGAGAAGTTGATAAGCAGTGGACAGATGTTGCACCAGCCTCCACCAGCTCTGCAGGAAAGCTGTACACATCAAAGACACAGTCTCTTGAGTAAAAAGAAAATAAATAAATACCACAGCTGCAGGTAAAGTACTCAACTAAAGCAAAAAACAAACAAATAAACAAAAAACCCTACATATACACACCTACAAGAAGGACACAACTAGTTACTGACACCTGGGTGGGACTGTAAGAAGAGAGAAATACCTCTAACTCTTGGAATTATCTACGACATTATTTTCCAAAGCCAATCATCTACTGTACGCCGCTTTTGTAAGAGGTTGAGCCTCTCTCATCACCAGATCTGGGCCAGTGGTAACATGCTAAGATAAGATCTGGTAAAATACAAGGAATTTGAGAAGCTGACAATAAAGCCCATTAAAACTAGATGTGTAAAACTGGACCAAAGAATTCCATCCAGCCAGTTTTTACTTCTTCCTACTATTCTTAACGTTCTTGTATCCTTTTCTTCACATAAACCTAAGCAATCTCAACAGTCACCTAGGAAAAACTCAGCTAAAGGAGTCTTACTTCACTGAATTTAACTATCACCTATCTGACTTGATGATGCATAACCATGAGACAAGTTTTCAAGAAGCCTGAAGCCCTTCCATCAGCAAACAGTAATGAAAAATAATAACCAGTAAATGTTGGAACAGCAAGGTACCATACACACTGATGTTGATTCCTTGCACTGTCACCATAAGGCCTAAGGGCAGACTTCTTGTATGTGCACATACCACCCTGCCAGCTGACAGTCATCATTGGTTCATACACTGGGGCATGCCCTGATTTCCAGCTAAATCTGTGTGGTCTAAATGCAGACTGCTTTAAGCAATCAATATCATAGCTGTGAGTAAAAGCTAATGTTGTTTCTGCTCCTAGTTTGAAGAGCAACAACCACCACAAAAAGCCCTGCAGCCGCATGGTCACATCTAGAAACTCCAACCTGCAACCCAAACTGCTGCTCTTTTGGAAGCTTTTAGAAGTATGCTAAGGGATGGCTACAGAGTTCCTTCTCATATTGTACAGGTGCAGTCAGTTTGGATACACAGAGCAAAAAAAAAAAAAGTTTCTTGGTGTGTTTGACAATATTCACCCATGTTCAGCTGTTACTCCTGAGAAGCAGAAGACTTCAGCTGAGCCGTACACAGGAGGATGAAGCCATTTTTTCATCTGAAATACAGCAACATCTTCCTTTCCCACAGCCACATTCAGGCAAGGAATGTGGTCGTGCAACATCAGCTCACAGGAGCACCAGCATGAATACTTCAAGACAGAGCAGAAAATAACTGTGTTTGTGGATGTCATCCTTCTTCCCCTCCTCTCCTATTCAAGTAGCCCCAAAGAGTACAGTGCAAAGTACTGCTGTGATCCTGTAGCTGAAAAGGATCTCCAGGAAAATGCATTTCTAGTAATCAAGTGAGTCCTTGGTTGACTGCCATCTGAAATCTCCAAATGACTAAATCTGATTAAGTTACAGAAGGTAACTTGGCAGGAATTCATCCTCTTGTTGGGAAGAAACACCATGAAACAGAAGCACATGCCTACTGGCAAAATAATTAACTGAGTTTGCATTTGCTGAAGTCATTTGCAGATGAAAACCAAATAAATTAAACATTGTTAAAACAACCATAATTGAAAAAACTCACCTGACTCTTGCAAGTATCTATAAACCAGGAAGTTAACCTCATCACTGCTTATACTCATCTTTATTCCCAGTTAAACCATGAGGTCACAACAAAGGACACAACCCTAAAAATAAGAAAAGTAGGTTAATTAAACATTTTTTAGGAACTGTAACATATTTCTTCACAAATGCTGTGTATCTACAAATGAAGTAGCTCCCTGGCAGCACAGTCAATGATTTTGATAATGTAAGTCCACCACAGTCATTAAAATGTCATTTCTCTCTTAGCAACATTAAGGTCAGTAAATTAAATACTGAAGGGCCACGCTTGCAGATGATGTAAAATTGAAATGGACTGGGGAGGCATTCAAAAATCAAGAGTTTCACCTAATCAACATTACTGCTACGAAATACTTTTTTCAACATCTGGATAACGATGACTTTGGCATCCAGACTGTATTTCACTTCTACTTTCTGATCTACTTCAATGTCCAAGTATCTCTGCTCTGGTTAAAGGTATATTATGGACTACAGCACTGTGCATGTTCAACCCAAACCCAACTATTTCCACCAAAAATCAGAAAACATCTCAGCCCCGTACTTAGGCTCTATGAAAGTAATCCTTAAAATTAGAGGTGAACTTTAAACAGAGCATGTCAATAACAGTTCTGTGTGCCTTTCATCAGTGATTAAAAATATTTACGGATATGAATACATACATATGTATATATGCAACATTTTTTCCTCAGGATTTTATTAAAAGTAAACATTTAGCAAGGCAAATAATGCATGAGAATATATGTACTTTTAGAGTACTATTAGAGATTTTGAATATAAAGCAAGAACAGGATTTAAGACAAAGTCAAGACAGCCTACAGTATTTCTTCTTCCTTAAGCCTCACTTCTAAGAATATTTCCATGACTTCTGAATGTTCAAAAATGAAAGTCCTGACGTTTTCCATAACATCACACAAACAAGTAGGAACATGAGCTTCCAGAACATGAAATGATGCCCACCTCCAGCGCCTAATAGGAGTAGACCTTAGTAGTGCTTTGCCCAGATGTCACCATGATTTACATGGAACTCATCAGAGAAGGTATCCTATAGATATTGGATGAGGTCTGACCTGGATCTGGCATTAAAAAAAAACCAGTACAAAGAAGGACTAGAGTGCAGGTTTTCTTGTGTGCTTCAGAACAAGAAGTTAGCTACTTCCAGCTACATGGCTGCATGAGCAGGTGATTCATCACTGCTCTCCAGGTGGGAAAGCTATGAACGCAGCAGTAAGCAGCAAGTAAAAGATTATGATTTGCATTACAAGACTGCCAAGTAGTAAAATTCACATATTCTTTGTAGCACTTCGTTTTCCTAGCAAGATTTCCTAAAAAGACAGGACAAAATAACCACAGTGTCTCTCTGCCCATCTAACTTTTGAAATTCACAAGTCAAATACAAACAAATATGGCAGTGTGAAAAGCTTTCACAAAAGTGACTTTTCAGCAAGCCCCATTGTGTTAGCAGCTGAACAGAGTGAAGAGACTCAACTGAACTCGCTAGAAACAGGGGGCTACACGATGAATCCAGACAGCATAGGGGTTGGTGGGACCCAGGAAGGAGAGTTTGGACTGTTGTGCATGGGAGCAGGGAGCTGTGAATGATGCTAACCATGGGCACAGAAATCCAGGACTTGGGCATTCCTGCACTTAAATGGGTCACAGTGGGGAATGCAAGAAACTGCCTTTGGTTTCTTAAGATAAATAAAAATGCAGAGCTACATAAAACCTTCTCAACTCTATTTAAGGAAAAAATAATGACTCCAGTACAGCCTCTTGCTAACGCAGCTCAGCTTCCAAAGATACATCAACACTATCCTTGCACTGCCCATCCACGGCCGCTGGATGCACGCCGTACACCTAACAAATTACAATGTACTTTGAGGGATTGTTCATTAAGTGTGTGAAATGAATACCATTCCAGGCATTTCATGCACTGACAACCGGTTACAGCACACGCTGCACCAAACACTGATTTAATCAGCTATATTTGTGGTCAAACCTGGTGCAAATCATCTTCAAAGTCTGCTCATTGCAGGAAAGTTCTACAGAAGAGGTACAATACCCTTCAGAAAGAAGCAGTAACTCCATTTTAAAAGTCTTATAAAGATGCTTTTTCACATTAGACATGCAAATGGCAGTGTTTGTTTCATGAGTCTGCTACTGACTTTTAACATCTCACTGCATCATCCAGAAAGATGGATCAAAACGCAAGGATCGGATATGAGCACTATTTGCTACATAGAGAAGATGTGTATTATTAATACAGAACAGACTCCCCACTGAAAGCAGAACCGCTGAAATGTCACACATTTACCTGCCACACGTTACACAGCTGGATAACCAAAGAAAAAAGCTAACGTTTTGCTTGGCTGTCAGAAGTGCTACTCACCCTGCCCCAGTCAAATGAGTGTAATTTTTCAAGGCTGGCTCAAAGTGTTTCTAAGCAAGCTGTGGCAAGGCAAGGACAGGCGCTGCCACTGCTGGAAATGCACGTTCCTGCCCGGCTGCCAACAGGTGGCAGTGCAGCACTGCCTTTGCAACGGTAACAACTCCAAAAATGCAGAAATGTGTTAAATAAATACACAGCTTTCCTGGTGAGGGCATGAAACCGAAAAGGCTGCTAAAGTTTCCTTTAAAAAAAAAAAAAAAAAGTCAAGATATTTCTTTACCCGTTTTTTCAGTGCTTGTCTCAATCTGAGAGGCTTTTGTGGTGCTCCCTCCCTAGCAGGCTACAGCTCACCCACTGCACATCCCAGGGAAGCGAGGAGCTGACTAAGGAACACAGAACCAAACGACTCTCCCTGCCACCCCCAAAGGGAAAATGCTGCAGCAATACAGAACGAAGGGATTCCATCATTCTTTCCCCCCAGCACGCTTCCAGTCAACACCAATCAGGGCACCTGCAGGAGCCAGCCTGACCTCCACCCCATGGCACAAGGACTGAGCCTTCCCACAGCAGCTTTGGGGAAAGCACAGCAGCAACAAGGCGCAAGGCCTCACCCACAGCCCCTGCAGAGGGGTCTCAGCCACAGGCACAATGCCCTCCAGCCCTGGGGCAGCTCCTGGTGGCCCTAAATCCACCTCAGCATGCTGCTCAGGCTCTGTTTTAACCCGCACGCGTCCCAGTCACGCTCAGCAATGCCAGTGTGCCAGTGGCAGGCAACTGTGCTCTTCCCCCATAGCACCCCAGATCACTGGGCCACAGGCACTGGCAGGATGCACAGCACTAGTGGAATTCCAATCAATACAGTACCGAAGTATCCCAGGGCATTATTAATTTAGCAGGCATATAACATACCAGCCACAAAATAAAAGCCAACTGCCTATACTTACGGTGGCCTCAAGATGTAGGCAAAAGCTCAGTGTGTCACACGTCAATAAGAAACTCAAAAGATTCACTCCTGTGCTTTTGACAAATTCCCCCGACTCAACCAAGCAGCGAATCGATGGCTGGAGTCAAAGTCATTCAGAAACTATTCTTTCAAAGGAAATTAGGTTTCTCATCTCAGAGCCCACACACCAACTCCATCTCAGCTTCCGCTCAGTGAAAACGTGCCTGTATTTTGCAACACAACTGTGACTCCAAAGCACCAGTGTGCTGCAGTTAGTGTGGCATCTCCTGCCCTCAAGGACCATCCATGTTCTTTCATACTTTGTGTGGCACCTGCAAGTAGAATTCATTCTAGAGAGGTCAAGCTCCACTATCATGAAACTGGATCTACAGACCGGTGGGTACCCAGCAGCACCAATCTGATTGCATTTCTGACAAATTATTATTCTACCATACATGCTTATGCTAGCTTTGTACTCTTATTCCAGGTTCATGCCAAATGCTGGAGAACAGATGCTGCTTGATATGGCTCCTTGCCTAATAGCTTTTCTGTGCTTTAAAAAAAAAAACAACAAAAAGACGGTGAACTGGCAGAGAAAGTTTATACATGAGATTAGCATTCTGTGCCTCTTCATTACTGTTTTATAATATATAGTGGATTTACTACAGTTCAGACTTACTCCTTACATCCAACAACAGCTTAAGAAAGAATCCAGCAGTGTGAGGTGGGCTCAGCACATCTTCATTAGGTATGATAACAGAACCACCTGGCAAGCTGCTGCAAACAGCAATTCCCCAAACATAGCAATCGTCAGTTTGATACCAATGCAAGAACAGCTAATGCTCTGGGTAGCTCTAAGAAGTGTTCAATGTTCAGATGTGAACAACCCACTCCGTTTTTGCACGGAAAACAGAAGCCTGGCTACAAAAACAGTAGCATCTCCTACACCAACAACACTGCCACAAGTCCTCGTCATTCCGTCCTCTTCCATGAAAACCTGACAGCTCTTTGGTCAGCACACACAGCACACACAGCACACACAGCACACACAGCACACACAGC